GCGCAATCATTGATTTCATTAATTCATTAATTAATTTAAAAAAATACTCGACCTCGACAATCACCGGCTACGGGATTACTTTAACCAAAAAAACGAAATTCTGAAGTCAAACTGATTTCAGTGAATAAAAATGGGGACGGTTTGATGCGAAAAAATGTTTCAAAGAACTCCCAGCCCAATTTCTTCCTAGTTCGACTAATGTACCCCATTTACTGTCTTTACCAAAGTAAAAAAAACGTCGAAACCCAACTCAGCTAATTTAAACTTGCCTGTTTTAAGTGTTGCCAGGCATCCCATCCCCTTTAAATCGACTCGGAAGGCTTCTGGTGTGGTTGGTTGACTAACTGTAAAGTGTTTTTACTCAGGCTGGCGTTTTAGAATCGGACCATGCCTATCTTGTGCAGAATTTTTCGCTGATTCCGAATCTGGTTTCCAAATTTGCTGCCGACCTTTATTTAAAAAGTTATTCGACATTTAGACTAAAAAAAATTGACTAAATCTGGATATTTTGCGTTATTTTTTAAGTTGTCGTCACCTCCGACGTTAAAACTGACTCGGTAATGGTTTTAGAGGTCAAAGCACGATTTTATGCAAAAAATCATGTGTTTTTGTGCAAAAAGCAAAATAAATTGTACAGGGCGGGGATCGAACCGCCGCCCTGTGCCTGGCAAGAGAACAACTTACCAATGCACCATGGTGCCAACTAGGAAGGGGGCTTCGAGAGGGTAGATAAGGGGCACAACAATCCCTGGACCCAGGCAGGGAATAGTGGGCCAGCATCCGAATTTATGCCGTTTTTAAGCTTAATTTAGACCAAAAATGACTTTTCAACGCGAAGTCCGCAGCAAATTTGGAAAACGGATTCGGAATCAGCAAAAAATTCTGAACAAGATAGGCTTGGTCCGATCCTAAAACGCCAGCCTGAGTAAAAACACTTTACAGTAAGGATTAGTATTCTTTTCTCGGTTTGATTCCCTATTGACCTCTGCTAGCCTGCCTTCTAGCGATAATTATTTATTAAGGTGTATTGGCTAGCAGATATGAGCAGGCCCGTAGCGGAACCGAAATTTCGGGGGCAAGCAATTTTGGCGACTCCCCCCGTCGGCACTTTTAAAATATCCGAAAATCGCGTCAATAATAGCGCCGCAGGCAAAAAAAATAGCAAAAAAGCGTTCGCTACACTCAAATTCGTGGGAAAACACGGCAGAAAACGCGCCGCAGGCGAAAATTTTTTATGAACAATTGATTCACCAATGAACAACCAGCGCCGCAGGCAAAAAATTTTGAAAAAATAGGCTTCACATAAGTAAAAACTCTTTGAAAAACAGTAATAAACAGCGCCGCAGGCAGAAAAATTTTTGTAACAAAAAATCATAAGGGTCCCCCCTTATGAATTTTTCGGAAGTCGACCGATTTCGGGGCCCAGGGCCCCCTGGGCCCCCCCTCCTCCTACGGGCCTGGATATGAGCATTATTTATTTGGAGGTCACAAGGTGTAATATGCAAATATTTACAGCGAATGGCTAAAGGAGTATTGTTAAATCACGAATGGAAGGATGATTAAAAATTTCGGCCGATCCCCAGCCACTAGATTCTAGGAAACATGCTTTTTTTCCGCCACAATTTTTTATTAAAGTGATGGATATTAAAAGATTATCAGTTCAATATCAAAATTCATGGAAAAAATATAACAGGAAATCGAGGTTATTTTGATGTTTGAAAAATTAAAATCAAAACTTAAACTAAAAAGCCGAAACATGTTTCGATTATGCTGCAGGCGAATTCGTTACTTTTGGGATAAGTTGCTAATACGCATTTGTGGGGAAATTTTACAGTTTCAACGATTCCTTTAAAGGGCTATGTAAGGCTGAGTTCGATTTTTACTGGTTATGGATTCCCTGGGTCAATTTAGATTGCCGCGTAGCGATACGTAACGCGCCGGCTCGGTCATCCATTTCAAAAAAATCCTAAAAAACTGTTTCTTAAAAAATCGCTGATATATGATGCTCAGAATCTGATTCCCTATTAATCTCTGCTAGCCTGCCATTGTGATAGGCATTTCCTAAACCGTATCGGCAAGCTGATAAGCGCATTATTTGTCTAAAAGTACCAGAGGTGTAATACGGCAAATATTGGAGGCCAACAGTTTTCCATTTGATCTTTTGATCAACTTTATTGGCGCCCGAGAACCCTAGGGTGATTAAAAATCTTGATCCGACTCTTGCCCTAAAAATTATCGAAACATTTTTTTACGGGACGCTCAGTCGGATTTTTATTTTATTTTTAAGGTATGAACGCAGCAATAATAAAGTATTTATTGCTTCAATAAAAAAGGCAAAATATAAAAATATATTTGCAAGCTGACCTCAAAAAATTAAATAGATGAATCGATTGTTTAAAAAGTGTTTCGCAAAATTCGCAGCCAGTTTTGTCCCCTCGTTGTACTAATTATATCCCCCTTAGCGTCTTCTGGTTGATTTCGAGTATTTCTGACGACCAAGTTTCGTTGAAATGAGTTTTTGCCATCTGTAAAAAATTTTTTTGCTGTGATTTTTATTTTGATTCGCTATTGACCTCTGCTAGCCTGCCCTCTAGTCATAATCTCCAACTTAAGACCCAGATAAGCAGGATGAGCTGAGATGAGCATTATTTGTTTAGAAATAACAACGGTGTAATATCCAAATACATGCAGCCAACGGCTAAATAGATATTATTTAAAATTAAAAAAAGCTAAAATTACTAACAGCGAAATGGCGGTATTAATAAAAACCTTGATCCGACCCATGCCCTAAAAAATCTCCGAAACATTTTTTTAGTTTGCAGTAAAAATTTTATTTATGTATTTTCTAAGGTTGTTAACGCAACAATACTAACTTATTTCTTGCTCCAATAAAAAAAAACAGGGAAATGAAAAGCTGATTTCAGGAAATTAGATTTGAGCAGCCTCTATTTTTGAAAAAGTGTTTCAAAGAATTCGAAGGCGCTTCTGTCCCCCGTTGAATCAATTCAGTAGCCTTGTTAGCTCCTGTTCTTTATTGAATTATTTCCTGACGGCCCAGACTCTTTAAAATGAATTTTTTTCAGTTTGTTAAAAATTGGCTGCAATATTGATTTTGATTCCCCATTAACCTTTGCTAGCCTGCCCTCTAGTGATAATCCCCAACTTAAGACTCAGATAGGCAGGCTGATATGAGGATTGCTTGCCAAGAATTGAAATGGGCTTGATATGCAAATACAGACAGCCATAGGCTAAGAAAATATTATTCAAAGTATACATGGGTCGACGCTTGCATGCGCCGCATAAGCGCGGCCGGCCACGCTCTTCCGGAGCGTGGAGAGCCACGCTGGCGCGCGCGCCTCTTAATAAACCACGCCGAAATGAGCGTGGCCCGCCACGCTCCGGAAACGCTTATGCAAAGCTTCTAAAAATGCAAAATCAAAGTTTTCCAAGGGGCATGAAAGCAAAAATCGATCCGTTTTCGAGAATTTAACTAACAAGAAGTTGAATCACGATCTATCTTGTTTATTTATCAAAATTTAAAGATGACCCTGATAGTTATGTATCGGCAATTCATTTTTGCAAATCGAATCATAAATATATATCCTTTAAATTTTTGATTTGCATCTGGAGTTAAATCGCGCGCGTGAAAAAGCACGCGTAAAGCGCCGCATAAGCGTGGTGCTCCACGCTCCGGAAGAGCGTGGCCAGCCACGCTTATGCGGCGCATGCAAGCGTCGACCCATGTATAATTCAAAGGCCACAATTGAAGAATGATTAAAAACATTGATCCCGCTCTTGCTCAAAAAATTTCCGAAACATTTTTTTTAAAAATTCGCTGACTGCTTTTTATTTTCCTATAGAAGTATGAACGCAGCAGTAATAAAGTAATTCTTGCGTTAACGAAAAATTAAAGAAAATATAAAAAACTAACTTTGAAAAATACGAATTTATATGCTTCATTAAAAATATTTCAAAAACAATAGTTAAATTTTGCTTCTTCGTAGAACAATTCAACCAGCACAGTCGTTGGTGCAATTTCTTTAGTCTTAATTATTTACTGGCATCCTACACAGCCAATCAAACAGGCCAAAAACGGCAATGTGCCGGGAGGGACAAAAGCGTCGATAGGAGCGGAACGTAGCGGGCGCCAAAAAGTTTAAGCTGTTATAGCTTTTTCAAAACGACTTAATAACGAAAACCCAGTATCAATTATTGCAGAGTAGAAGTTTACGGTTCGAATGATACCAAATACAGCCAGTTAGCCCTCCGAAATACCACTTTCACAAAGTCGCTCACCAAAACCGCTTTCGTTAACATACTTTCTAAATTCAGTTTTGTTAGTGCTTAGTATCATTAGAATCGCCATGTTCCCTTCTACAAGACTGGAATTCGCGTTTTTAGGATCGGCCATATTTTTCAAGATATAAGCCTCCAAACTTTTAGCCCCATACATTTTTGAGTCGATAGGAGCGTCGCGTTGCCTAGCCCTTAGACCGCCGCGATTTCGGGGCTTGCCTAGTCTCCCTAAAAGGTTGCTTGCCAAGAATTGAAATGGGTGGGGTGTGCAAATACAAGCCTAATAATAATACTGCTAATACGGCCAAGGAGGTATTATTCGAAGGCTAACATCGACTGAAGATTAAAAAGCTTATCCCAGCTCCAACCATAAAAAGTTCCGAGACATTTTTTTTGGAATTCGAAGCAAGGATTTTATTTTCTTGATTTTTCAAGTGACACGACAATCATGACGTTTTTTGCTTTAATAAAAATATGGACAATATGAAAACAAGCTGAATTGAGAAAATTCGAGTTGATGATCGATTATGAAGAATGTTTCAGTAATATCAAGCTAAATTCTGTTTCCTCGTCGGACAATTCGGTTCAAACCGCAGTTGACGTAATTTCTCTAGTTTTAATTATTTCCTGGCGTACCTAGTCTCCTTAAAATAGATTTTAGTAATTTTTCAAAACGGCATTTTAGGGCCCCCAGCTGCTCTTTCATGGATCTCGAATTTCAGCAAGGATTTTTGGACTACCAATATGTGGTGGCGCTACGAGAGGAGAAAAGTACGGTAATTTAATCCATAAATTGAAAACTAAACTAATTAAAATAGACTGAGAGTGTCACCAAAATTGACGTTAAACTCTAAAAAGATTTTCAAATTTTCAGATTTAAAAAATAGTTTAGTAAAGATGTTTTTTATGAAAACTGCAAAATTAATATGCACCAGCCAAACAAAAATTAGCGTAAACTCGAAAAAAGTTAATTGTAGTATCCCTGAAACATCCAAAACTCCCGACGCAGGGCATCCCGAAAATCTTCATGCTGAAATGCCTGCTGTACGGATTTTCGTGCGGGGCCACAATGTCTATGTGTCAGGTAATTTGGGTATTAAGAATCAAAATCGAGGGCAGGCTAGCAGAGGTTCTTTGGAAAAACGTAAAGTTTGAAGCGCTTTTGGCTTTTGACTTTCAGTAACGAATTTTATTTATTTGGTGAAATATCGAAAATGCTTAAAGGCTTCAAGGCTATGGATTTGCCTTCACAATACCTTTAAAACTTCGAAAAACTGATTTTTTTTTAGCTCGGCGCACTAATAAACGCCCCGCTAATGGTCCTCTTCAACAAAACAAGCCGCGAAGTTTTTGGCGTGGATGATGGGTGGGGTAAATTCGAAAATAATGTTGATTTTGAACGACTTTTCGCTATTTGAAAAAGTCTGCAAAAGCAGAGAAATTTATTAAAAACGGAAAAGCGAAAAATTATTTTTCTATTTTTTGGAAAATGTTTCATAAAGATTTGCTTTTCATCGGGATTTTGATGTCTTAATTTGTTTCCGTGTTCCACAAGTGCCCCTAAAAATTTGCATAATGTTCTTTTCGCCTTCAAAAATCAACGATGGTATCAATCTTTCCGGAAACGGGAAAACAACGGGCCTTTTTGCGGAATTCAAATTCATGAATTTTTGAAAAAATGTTTCATCAAAAGTGCTACTTAACAGATTTTTAAACTTATTAATCCGGATCCGCTTGGATAAGAAATACTCATGTCGTAACTGAAATAATATTATTTGCTATTTAAAATATCAACGACTATAAATAATGATGTCTATAAATTTCAATTTAAAATTAAAAAAAATCATATTATCAGATCTTGTGGAAAATTGAATCTTTTGGGTTCTGAAAATATGTTTCATCAAAATTAGTCGTCGTTCCGTCATTTTGAATCTTAATTTGAAGTTCTTGGATCCTCCGAATTTTGCAGCGCATATTGAGCGGCGCAAATTTAACTGGTTGGGGGCGTTACCGAGAAAAATTATGATAATTTTTGCGCTAGAAACCTCCGTCGAGGTCTAGTAGACTTGCAAAGATTTAAGCATTTGGCTTCGAATAAGCAATTCGTGACACCGCTTCCTTGCTGAACCCCATGATTTAGAGGTATTCTACTGCTGTCCGCCGGAAGCTGGATGGGAATGGCCGGGATGTTCTTCTCCCTGGCAGCAGTCATACCACTTATGGATTTCTTGGGACGAAAAGTCGTTTGTGTCTATATCAAGTGAGTTATTGGGGGGCTACAGAATCTCTGCTAGCTTGCCCGGACCATTTGAGGGAGCAGAGATTGTTTGAGGAAATGGACGAACCCCGAGAGGAGGGCAGGCTAGCAGAGATTGTTTGAGGAAATGGACGGACCCCGAGAGGAGGGCAGGCTAGCAGAGGTTGTTTGAGGAAATGGACGGACCCCGAGAGGAGGGCAGGCTAGCAGAGATTGTTTGAGGAAATGGATGAGTTAGGAATTACGGGCTTCCTAGGTCCAAAGATAGCTCCGGGTCCAATCCGCAAAACAAGTGCTCCGGGCGGGGGTCGAACCCGCATCCTACGGCTTTCGAGTCCGATGCTCTACCTATTGAGCTACCGGGGCACGCGGAATGCCTCTCAGGGCAGCTATCCATGCCAGCCCAACCGATGGACCCCGAGAGGAGGGCAGGCTAGCAGAAATTGTTTAGGAAACTCCACTACCTCTTTCAGATTCACGTTCACAGCGCTGGGAAGTGCCCTCTTCGTCTTGTCGTGGCTGGTACAAAATGGCTTACTGTACCTCCTTGGCGTCGCCTGCCTCGTCGTTCCATTCGCCGTTGTGGCCCTCGGAGATATCATATTTTTGAGCGAAATCGCCCCTTCGAACCATAAAGGTCGATTAAATATTACCTTCCACCTTAACTTCAAAAGCCTAAAAACTACAACCCCTAGATATAAGATACCAAAACACAGCAAAGCAAAAAAAATATGTTTCAAAAAATTGCAGTTTCCGCTATGTAGCCTAGCGCCTAATGAAAGGTCCATTTTGATGCTGTAGCTAGTTATTCGCTGAAAGTTTGAGTCGTTAGAAATCAATCATTTTTAACGCCCTACTTTTAGTGAGAAAATCTTTGCAAAATATGTAGATCGAATCAAAAGCCAATTCCGGCGAAATGGCAAAATTTAGCTGATTTAATTTTAAATAGTCGTAGAACCAGAACACCTACCAATAAATTAGGCAAAATTTCGGGAGTTTTATGAGATTTTAAAATCTGAGGGGAAGGCACAAATTGACTGTTTTAAAAAATGAAAATGGCTAAAAACCGGAAATTGGCAATAGGAATGACCACCGATTAGGGAAGTTTTCCGCCATTCGAATGCACGATTTTGCTGTAGCATATTTTTTTACCTCGATCGTGTGTGAGGTTTTCAAAAGTGCTTGCTTGCGACAGATATTTTTTTGGCTGAGAAACCAGTCGAAAGCGAGCATTTTCTGCCAGTACCGGCTTCGTTTAGCACGATGTTTCAAAAATTATAAAACACAGCATCTTCGATTTCGTCCTGATACCGTTTCGCTGGAAACCTTTTCTATTTACAACAGCCCGGATTTGGATGGCGTAACTGGTTATTTCGATCGAAATTTCGGGGCTTTCAGCCGGAATTTCGAGATTTCCATTCCGAAATTTTCTAAGCAAGAGAGATTCGAGAATATAAGCAAAATTCCGTAAACATTAAAAACCCTAAAAAGCTATTAATCAACTTATCAGTGTACAAAAATCAAAATACGCATTTTTCTTGATTATCAAAAATATTAAAACGAGTTCAAAAAACACAGAAATATTGAAATATCAAAAACGGGCGATTGGTATTTTTCTTTCATCTTGAAATCCACAAGCATTATTGATTTAACTCCTTTCTGCATGACACATTTCAGAAAAACACTTTTTTTATTAATGATTGAACGAATTATTTTAATTAAATTTAGCTTGTAATAAATATTATTAATTAAAATCTGTAACAAATTAACAATTTTAAATATAGAAAATAAGATTCTTCCAGCCTTCTTCGCGATGCTGTCCTTCTCGTTCGTGACGGTGAGCGCCCAGATCTGCACCGTACTCGCCCGGGAGGACATGCTTGGGACCCCGGAAAAATGGGGGTATATCCCGCTATTTGGACAGGTCGGAAAATTAATGCTTTTACTGTTTTTAATTATTTTCAAAGTAGCTCATTTAAAACAGAACTAATTGATAAAAAACCAGCTGGAAACTTTGAAATTTCTATCTTTCATACAAAAGTTGGGACGGGCCGATCATCTATATTTTAATTGTATCAGCGATAATGTTCGGCGTAAACGAAAATATATACTAAATTTATATCAACTATAATAATTTTGCTGTGGTCTCTGTGTGAAGCCGAATTCAACTCGAAGGGGAAAGGAGCTAGAGCTTAGCTCTCTTCGGATTCGGATAGAGCGCCGTCAGAAACCCCCAAACTGATCAAGATCAGAATTTTAAAACTTTATTTTCATATTTAAAAATCGATTTTAAAATACGGCTAATACATTTTTGGCGGCAACGTAAGGCTACTTTACACGTCGTGACATGGTGGGGACACAGGGAGCGAAGCAATGAAAATTTTCACGTGGCTTTCGCGTTTTCTTTCTTTTGTTTCTTTCTTTCTCAATCTTTTTCTTTTTCGATTTACGTTTTCGATTTTCGATTTACTTTTCCCGATGCGCTACATTTTTTGCATATTTCATTTCCATAACTTCCGGCCTTCTCCTGTCTATTACTTTTTCCAGGTAATCCTCATTGGCTGCCCTACTCCAAACCGGATCGGGCGGTGCTATTTCGCATTGCCGGTAAAGTTGATCTTACGACTCTTATATATCATTGTTTAGTAGCACACACAACAACAGCCCCCTCCGCACCTCAAGGCGTCCTTTGCTGCGCATATCCACGGGCAGTGCCATTCCGGTAAAACTCGCGTTTCTTTCTTCTTTACATGCTTTGCCTAGGTGCCATCGACAGCGCACCGCCAACTCCAGGCATCAAAGCCAATCCACATTGCCGGTAAAGTTGAGTTTGCTTTTGTTACATTCAATGCTTAGGTGCAAAAGCCCAAGCGGACTGCAGCCACCCCCCGTGCAAGTCATCGACAGCCTCGCGCTCCTCCATCAGGTAAAGCTCCTTGGATCGATCGTTTACGTTTTCCATTTTAGGCGGGTGCAAGCAGGAATCCACAGGCGAACCCGCTTCATTCCTCACTGCCAGGTAAACTCGCCTTTATTTTTCTTTCACTCTCAATACTTAGGTGGAAAGCCACGAAAACCATCAAGACGTCGGCTGTGCCATTCATTTGCCGGTAAAGTTGAGTTTACTTCCCGTATATGCGATGCTAGCTGCCAACAACCGCAAGCCTTCCATCACAACGCTTCCTCCGCCGCGCACTACACGGTTGAACCCTTCCGGTAGGGCCTTTGGATCGATCGTTTACGTGTTTCATTCTTAGGCCGGTGCAAGGAAGCATTCAACGGCGAGTTTGGACCTGCACATAGCCAGGTAAGCTCGCGTTTAGTTTTCTATTAAATTGCATGTTTAGGCGCAAAACAACAACGACCACTTCTCAACGTAAATGCCGCGCGCCAGGTTGACAGCCGCGGAACGTGAGGCTGCCGCAGCACGTCGCCGGGAGCAACAACAGGCACGCAGGGCTGCCGAGTCGGCGGAAGCGGCGGCGGCTAGGAGGGCTGCCAATGCAGCGCAAAACCAGGCCCGAAGGCGTACCCTGTCACCCGGGACTGCGGCGGCAATTCGACAAGCGGATGCTGCTCAACATCAAGCCCAGCACGCGCAGCTCACACCGATTCAACTAGCTGCCGTGAATCACCAGCGCCAAACAGTTCGGCAGCAACGAGCGGCGGCTGCGATACGCCCAGGACGGGATCCGGCCTCGCGCCCCGAACAGCACTATCTCGGCGCTATGCTCCGCCTCTGCCTTGGCTGCAATGCCTTGCATTTCGAGTCGGAAGGCAATGGCCGGCGCCCACAATCGTTTCAAGCATGCTGTGGCGGTGGACAAGTCATCATCGACCCATTTGGAGACACGCCACCAGAGCTCCGTCTTCTATTCGAACGGGACCACAATGCCGGAGCAAATTTCCATCAAAACATCCGGCTACTGAACGGCGGCTTGGCGATGGCGTCGATGGCAGGAGATTTTCAATCTCCGCCTGGACATGGGCCGTATGTTTTCCGCATACACTCCACCCACTACCATCGGACGGGCCCGCTTCGCCCCAACAACGGCCAGCCGCCCCAATGCGCGCAAATTCTGATCATGGACACGGAAGAAGCGGCAGCCGAGTTGGCCGGGCGCCCGATGAACCGCACGTGCGACAGCGACCTCTTCCGACAGCTTCATCAACTGATCAACCGGCACCATCGGTACGCGCAGGCCTTCAAGTGCATAGACGAGGTGGTGAAGGAAGAGGAACGACAAGCCGCAGCCGCCGGGCGTCCACGACAAGCCGAAGTCAAGATGGTGTTCGTCACGGACGGGCGTGACGATCAGCGTCGATACAATGCCGCCACCGCTACCGAGGTCGCCGTCATCTACGTTGGAGACGATGAGGACATCCCCGGAGAGAGGCAGTTTGTGATCCACGAGCGCAACATGCCGTTGCGGACGATCAGCATCCTGGATCCCCGCCTGGATCCGCTGACATATCCGTTGCTCTTTGCAACTGGATTAAACGGATGGCATCCCGGCCTGACCATTGCCAACCCAGGTACCCGCCGCAATACCCGGGTCACGATGCGACGCTACTATGCCCATCTCTTCTTCCCAAGGCCAGGAAAATTCAACCCGCTGCTCCGAGCTGGCCGCCTTGCCCAACAATATGCCGTGGATGTGTTTATGCGCGTCGAACAAAATGAGCTACAGTTCATCCGGCAGAACCAGAAGCTCTTGCGGCTCGACAACGTGCAAGGCCTGCGTGCCCACATCAACAACAATAACGGAGACGAGCCAGCGCCCGGCCGGATCATCCGTTTGGGATCGAAGTTCAAGGGCGGACCCGGATACATGCAAGGCCGCCACACAGATGCAATGGCCCATGTCCACCGATTCGGAAAACCTGATCTCTTCATCACCGTCACCTGCAACCCAAGGTGGAAGGAAATCGATGACAATCTCTACCCCGGTCAAACCGCCTCGGACCGCCCCGATTTGGTGGCGCGCGTCTTTGATCTCAAAGCACAGGCAATCCTGAAGGACCTTACAAAAGACGGAATTTTCGGGGAGCCCAGCTGCTGGATCTACGTGATCGAGTATCAGAAGCGTGGACTCCCACATATGCACCTGCTCCTGACGCTGAAGTCCGCCTACAAATTGCGCACCGAGGATGACGTGGACAACATCATTTCCGCAGAATTGCCCGACAAGACGATGGACCCGGAGTTGTATGGCATCATCTCGACGTGCATGATCCACCGCCCCTGTGGCTTTGACAACCCGGCCTCTCCTGCATGTCAAACAACAAGTGCCAGAAGGGTTTCCCCAAAGCCTGGCGCCATCATACCACTATGAACGACGATGGATATCCAGCATATCGTCGACGGGATGATGGTCGTTTTGTCATCTGCCGAGTCAACGGACGCGAGATCAAGCTCGACAACCGCCACGTCGTTCCGTACAGTCCGTACCTGTCAAGAAAGTTTGCTGCGCACATCAACGTCGAGTACTGCGGCGTCGTCCATGCTGTCAAGTACATCTATAAATACTGCTACAAAAGGCCCGGACCGAGCACGCGTCGAGATAAGCGGAGGTGAAAGGGACGAAATCAAGGAATTTCTCGACACCCGCTACGTCTGTGCGCCCGAAGCCCTCTACCGTCTCTTCGGTGGGCAAATGGATGATCAGTCGCACTCCGTCGACGCCCTTCCCGTACACCTACCAGATGAAGCGAACGTGTGCTTCGAAGCCGGAGCCGAGGAAGAGGCGCTGGAGCGAGCGGAAGCAAAGGACACCGCCCTGACCGCCTTCTTCAAGGTCAACCAAAAGTGCTATGACGAGGAGCAGCAGACCGGGGTCGCGCCAGTCCCGGATTCGCGCGAGTTCTTCTACCACGCAATGCCGGAGCACTTCGTACTCAAGAAGGATGTGAGGGTCTGGGACGCCCGACAACGCGGTGGCAACAAGAAGATTGGCCGCATCACTGCCGTGCCCTCAAAACACCGAGCGTTTCGCCCTGCGTATGATGCTGCTGTACGGAAAAGGATACCGATCGTATGAGGACGTGCGCACGGTTAACGGGACGATCTATCCAACATTCGTGGAAGCGGCCCGTGAGGCCGGATACCTTACCGATGATGTCTGTTTTGAGCAAGCCCTGGATGAAGCTGCCGGCTTCCGGATGCCGCGCTCCCTACGATCGTTCTTCGCATCGCTGTTGTGCTTCGCCGATCTTTTCCCCCAAAGCCTGACGAACTCTGGGAGCGGTACAAGGATCAGTTCTGCGAAGACTTCCTCCACCACAGGACACGCGCCGCACGTTGCTGAATCGCTGGCCTTTCACGACATCTGCGACCGCATCGCGGACGCTAACCGGCGACCCGAGATCTTCTTCAGGGCGATACCGGCTCGGCTCAATCCAGATAATCCGCCGCCGGATTACGAGGCCCACCGACGGATCCGGCCAGGAGATGTACGCCAAATTGAACGTCGAGCAGAAGGTCGTCGTTGATGCCGTCCTCGGCGCCCTGCAAGGCCGTTTGCCGAATCCAAGAACCTGTCACTTCATTGATGGTCCCGGAGGCAGCGGCAAGACCTTCGTCTACAAGACCATTTACCACCTCGCGGTCGCCGACAAGAAGCAGATCCTCAACGTCGCCTGGACAGGTAATTTTTTCAAATCTTTTGTTTTGTAATCTTTAAATCAGCTAATTTTTATTTTTAGGCATTGCTGCCGCGCTCTACCCGATGGCAAGACGGTCAGCTCTGCCTTCCAGCTGTCGATCGTCGACCACACCTCGATGCTCAAGAACCAGGACAAAAAGTCACAAGAACTGCGAAAGGTCTGATTATAATCTTTTTTTTTGTTTGGTGTCTTTTCAACAAACATGTTTTTCAGGTTGATGCCGTCATCTGGGATGAAGCGCCGATGGCCCCGAAGAAGGCGCTGGAAGCGATCGACGAGAAGCTGAAGGACCTGATGGGGAACGACCTCCCATTCGGCGGGAAGCTCTTCCTCCTCGGTGGCGACTTCCGCCAAGTTCTGCCGGTGGTCGAACGAGGAAGCCGACGGGACATGGTCGAGGCCACGATCAAGCGCTCCCGGCTCTGGACCCAATTTCAACGACATTCCCTGAGGACGAATATGAGGGTGGCAGGCAACGACCAAGGCTTCAAGGATTGGCTGTTGAATGTTGGCGATGGGATCGACGGACACGAAGGACAAATCGATGTGCCAGCCTCGATGGCCGTCCAGGATAACCTCGCAGATCACATCTTTGGCCCTGCATTCAACGGAGAGCCTATCGATCTTTCCGATCGCGCCATTCTATCGCCCAAAAATGTCGACGCGCTAGACATCAACAACGAAGTTCTGGAACGGATGCCCGGGCAAACCTTCACTTTCATCAGCCAGGACCACGTGGATTCGGACAATCCCAGCGACGGCTACAATTATCCGACCGAATTCCTCAACAATATTGTTTGTGCCGCGCTCCCTCCGCACAAACTAAATCTGAAGGTCGGCTGCATCGTGATGTTGTTGCGCAACCTCTCTGTGAAAGACGGCATGTGCAATGGAAGTCGGATGTACGTCCGCGCAATTGGCCAACGCGTCCTCACCTGTGAATTGGCGACCGGCGACCGCAAGGGCGAGATGGTGCTGATCCCTCGCATTGACTGCCAATATCAATACGAGAAGAAACTGTTCAAAGTGATCCGCCGACAGTTCCCCATCCGGTTGAGCTACGCTATGACGATCAATAAGTCGCAGGGCCAAAGCTTCGATCAAGTTGGACTGGCCCTCCACGAACGCATCTTCTCCCATGGACAGCTTTATGTGGCGCTTTCACGAGGTCGCACGCGCTGAATCCACATCGATTCGCCAGACAAAAAGATGGACAATATAGTTTTTAAAGAAGTTTATGATAATTAAATGTGTGATGCTTTTTCGATTGATAAATATTTGCTCTCTGAATTGGCGTTTCGATTTCCGACCAAGGCCGTTTTAACGGTATTGCTATCCATACCATGTATGGTATCCATGTAGTTTTTTTAGGGGATTTCGGCTAGCGGAAGTATCTAAAGCCAAGTAAAGTAGCTAAGTTTTATCAGGGGTTGGCCATAGAAGGTATCTGAAGCGACCAGCGTGGGTATTGATGAAGGTAGAGGGGTAATGTGGTGGTGGATAACATGGAGGGTAGCCCGAAGGCCAGTCGATTACAGTCGCGAAGCGGCTGTAATCGGCTGGTTTTTTACATTTTACATCATTGACCAGGGTTGAAAAGCCGCTTCGCGACTTTTCAACCCTGGCCCCGTTTGATCCTTCATTTTGCATAATTTTCCTGAATTCAGATGACAAAAAATGAAAAACTACCTGTTCAGCCCCTTTATACATTCGAATCCCCACTTCCGGTCTACGCTAATTGTTCCTAACAAAGTGGTTTTCACAAAAACTTAAATTTAATGTCGAAAATAGGTGATTTTGTTAAATCTGATATGCGTGCGGTCATCTCCAGGCCATTACGAACCTAATGACTTATCATACATGCCTTAAAATTCATCCCCCTATCGAAATAACCTCCGGACAGACATCCGGAAGTGGATGCAAAGTGGCACACACAGACACACACACAGACACTATTTTTTTATATATAGTAGGATTATAGCATTTTACACGGTTTTTTAACCAGAAAAGCAATAAAAACATAATTAAAAATTGTGAAACTTTTCGAATTTACCTCACAAAAACGAAAAATTTTCAAAATCTACATTTCGAATGTTTTTTATAGTTGTTTATTAAATTTATGATGGTTTTCTTATTTCTAATCGCTAAGTATTGCAAACTACCTTAAAAACTATAAAAATAGACTAATCATTATTAACAAGTAACCATAAGGCGGGAAAGTAAAATTTCAGTCCGTTGAAATCACCCCCGCTAGTAGCCCAGTACCTACGATCACAGCTTCAAAAATAAAAATGGCAGAGCTTTTGAAAAAAATAGATTAAATTTCAGGCCTTGAATATGGTGATGCTCTTCGTCGGTCACAGCTTGCCGGATCCGGAGCAAGAGAAATTAATGGGTAAGTTACGTTCTTAAAGGGGCTCTGAAATCTGGTCCACGGCCCTCTACGTGGATTCCTGGCAAATAGCCAGATGTGACCGCAACGCCGCATGATCTTTTGTCCCTTTTAGACGTGAGAAAGCTTGCATTGAAAAATTCTGACGCAATTTCGGGAATCCTCCCCCGAATTTCGATCATTCTAGATTTTTGAATCCAGAAAATTGATCAGAGAATCGCCGAGATCGAGAGATTGGGTGCCTTACAAGCAGGCCCGTAGCGGAACCGAAATTTCGGGGGGGCCAAAAATTTTGGCGACCTCCCCCGGTCGTCACTTTTAAAACATCCGAAAATCGCGCCAATAATAGCGCCGCAGGCAAAAAAATAGCAAAAAAGCGTTCGCTACACTCAAATTCGTGTGAAAACAAGGCAGAAAACGCGCCGCAGGCGAAACTTTTGTATGAACAATTGATTCACCAATGAACAACCAGCGCCGCAGGCAAAAAAAATTTGAAAAAATAGGCTTGATATAAGTAAAAACTGTTTGAAAAACAGTAATAAACAGCGCCGCAGGCAGAAAAATTTTTGTAACTAAAAATCATAAGGGTCCCCCTTCTGAATTTTTCGGACCTCGACCGATTTCGGGGCCCAGGGCCCCTGGGCCCCCTCCTACGGGCCTGGGTGCAATCCCCGCACGCAGGAATTTTGACTTCCGTGCCCCGCGTTAAGGGACGATTAAGGGATGGCGATGGATTTTTCTCGATTGGGAGGCCTTCCGATTTCTCTTAATAATTTTGTAAATAAAAAACCTAAATAAATTATGAAAAAGCTTTAAGACCAAATGTCGCTCGCCAAATTCTACCAGCAACACTTTGGGAAATTCGCCGGCTTCCTCCGGAATCGAAACGGGCTGACTGAGGTTAGTTAGACTCGGAAAGTGAACGAAGTTGATTGTTGCTATAAATCGATGTCAGTTAGGTATTTTGAGCGAAACATTGTTTTCCAATACACCAAAAATTTTATATTTTTAGGTTGCCTAGTTTTTGATCTAGTCATTTATAAGTCACTTTTATGTATTTAGTTACGATTAAAGGGTTTAGGCCGGCGCAAAAAAAATAAAAATCTAAAAAGCGTCCCAAATTATCGAAGCTTTTTTGCAAAAGAGGCATGCGGTTGTGTTCGGTTTAATCCTAGTAAACGTTGCTGGCATTCCAGGAAATTTTGAGAAACATAAAATCCGTAATTTTTGGCATCGCTTTAGCTGTTGCATGGAATTTTAAGATTTAGTTCTATTTATTGATTTATTTTAACTTTATATACAGGCATTATAGAGATCTTGGGCGTAAAATTAAGCCGAAATCTTTGCAAAGAATTTAGCGTTGTCTGATAATTCGCCATAACCGTTGTTGCCAATTCTGGAAATTTTGCGAAACATCAAATTTTAAATTTTGGTTATGTGTATGCGTAGTCTTGTTGCCGCATATTTTGCCTTGCTCCGCGACACGTAACGCGCACGCTGACCTTTCCATTGTTTAATCGATTGCGACCACGGTACGGTAGCGAGCAGGGGTGCTCGGCAAAGTCCCAGATGTAAAAGTTAACGCTCACAACTAACCAGTGCTCGCATAATGTTTTACCATTGTAAGGAATTTTGGGAAACATCAAATTTGTAGTTTTTTGACGTGATTTTAACACAAACCATAATTCATAGAAAGGAAAGCCTATATATTTTGTAAAGAAAGGATTGCTAATAGTTTACTCAGTTTGTTAATTGTACTAATGAAAAATCGCCAGGGAAGGATAACGTCTTGGACCCAATTCCGTCAAAATAAAATTCCGTAAAACATGTTTCACAGAAACATTGAATTTTTGCTGCCAGCCATTGCGCCATTTTCGAGTTTCCTGATGACCAAATGCCGAGGAAATAATAACCTCTTTAAAATAAAAATAATCTTTCTAATTTAGTTGATTGGCATTTAAAACTATTAAACATTTAGAAACTGCTGTTAGTGATGGCGATCGACCTATTTGCCGTGATGAACATCTCGCTCGTCGAGGGCATCTTCCTGATCCCGATCTACCGCGGCGAGGGAATGGATGTTAATGAGGTACCTCTATCGTTTTTATATTTTTAAAACTTTATAAAATTATAAATAAAATGTTTCAAATTGTAAAAATACATTTTTGACCAAAATTTTCGAAAACCTTTGAATTTTTATTAGCTCATTGTTTTAAAAATTGTATAAAATGCCGTGATAATAGTTTATATATGGCTTATTCTCAATTTTACAAAACCTTTTCGTGCGAAAAGACATTATTTTGATTAAATTTTCTTTTCATAGTTTCATGAACAAAAGAAGCAGATGTGTGATTATCACCTCAAAATGTTTTTAATGCTGACAGTTCAGTGAAACATAATTTTTCGAGCTATAGTCTGTTCGTAATTTTGTTACTTTTATGGTTTTCATCACCAAATTAAATTTTGAAATTTCTAGATCCTCTCCATGGGCCTAATCGTGTTCGCGGTGCTGATGCCGTTCCGCTGGATCGGGCCGATGATACTCACAAAAATCGACAACCGAAAAATTTTCCACTACGCGCTGCCAGTCTTCGCGCTCAAGTCGGCGCTGCACCTCGTCAACTCGTGGACAAAAATCGAGGCACTGTGTGAGTTTTAAGGACCGTACTTCGATCCATACCATAATGTAAACTTTCAAAAAAAATTCGAACATTTCTCTCTAAAAAGCCAGTGTTTCAAAATGGACCAGATGGCTTTACACTTGAACTATATTAATAACGCCTCAGCAGCAGCCAGGGACGTAGCGTAATACAGGCCCCGGGGGCCCGGCCCCCCGAAATCGGTCGGGGCCCGAAAATTTCATAAGGGGGGACCCTTATGATTTTTATTTTCTCAAAAAATTTGCTGCCTGCGGCGCTATTTTTTCACGTTTTTACGGCTATTTGTAGAGATATGTAACCCTTTTTTCAAAAATTTTTGCCTGCGGCGCTGTGTTCTCGTTAATGTTTTGAGAATTTAGGAACAATTTTTTGGGGGCCCCCCCCCGAAATTTTTTTCTGTCTACGCCCCTGGCAGCAGCTGGTTATAAATTTGCGTTATTATCTAAATTTTAGCTATAAAAATTGTAATGTAGTTAAGATAGTAATTAATCGAGCAAAAAAACCCGTAAGAACCACATAAGCAGTGCAAAAAATGGGAACGATATGATGTTCCAAAAAACTCAGTATTTCTGTAAAATTTTTGGTGTATGGTGCGCTCTGGTTCTGATCATTTTACTGCAGTAATCGGTACACCGTAATTAGAAAAATAACATTTAATCCATCAAAACCATTATGATTTTAAAGCGTTCATGTTTTTTTGGAAAATTGTATTTTATGTACCGTAATCCGATCCATACCAGAGCGTATCTCATCCTCAAAAATTCATTTCTCCTTAAAAATCTGGTGTTTCAAAAATAAACCAGGTGGCTGCACTTTTAACCTATATTAATAAAGACTTCGCGTTTTGTTATAAATTCGCGTTACTATCTAAATCGTAGATCTACGTTTGTACTGGAATTAAGACAGTAAGTAAGCAAATGTACGCTCGGAAAATTAAATCGAGACGTTTGATTGTTTTCTGGTCTAATCGAAATACAAATTCCCGTAAATACCAACCGCGCAGACAAAAAAAACTAATGGTAAGGATATGATGTTCCAAAAAACTCAGTATTTCTGTAAAATTTTTGGTGGATAGTCCGCTTTGGTTCCGATCATTTTACTGCAATAATCGGTACGCCGTAAATAAAAAAAATCGCATTTAAATCATAAAAATCCTCACGGTGCTTTTTTTTGGTTTTTTTCATGGTTTTTTTTGGAAAATTGTGTTTTATGTACCATACTCCGATACATACCAGAGCGTATCTTCTCATAAAAAATTCCGCCTTCCTCTTTAACAAGCTCATGTTTCAAAAAGGAGCCCAGTGGCCGCACGTTTGAACTATATTAATCCCGACTCCATAGCTGGTACTAAATGTGCGTCATTATCTAGATTGATATCTAAAATCTTAATGCAAGTAAGTTAGTAATTCAGTGAACCTGGGCTAGTAAAATTAAATATCATGCCTATCATGCTGCAATCGATTACGCAATAGAAGGTCAAGCGTGCGCGTTGCGTGCCGCGGCGCCTCAAAATCCATAGGGGTTCCTTGAGTCGATACCACTGCTTTGGCAAGTATTTTTGAAATTGGATATTCGATCGAATCGATTTCGATTCGATACGGGATCTTGTTCGATAAGGATTCCTATGCATTTTCCCGCGCCGCGACAGGCAACGCAACGTCTTGAAGGACGTAATCGATTACACAAGCACATGCGTGATCCGCGTCGTAAGCGCGGTTAGATTTTGAGAAATCCATTGCATAAGAATCCACAGTCCGACCTTTTCGGTCTCTTTAAAACACCCATTTTCAGGCTACGTCAACCAGTTTCTGGAGAAAATCGTCGAAGCGACTGGACTCCCCGCCATCAGCTATATTATTGCTACGGAAATATTTGCGCCTGAAGTTCTGGTGATTGCTACGCAGGTCAGTTGCTTAACGAGGGCCCTTAAGGAAACGACAGATCAAGGATATCTATTATTTTTTGGTGCTGAGAAAAACAATGATAGCGCACGTATCACGGGGAGATTGAGCGTCACGGGAAACTTTCTATCGCTGCATTTTCATGAAAACATTCTCAAAAAAACTCGTGTTCTCGAAATATTTCTTGTTAGAAGTTGTGATGTCTATTTAATTTTTGACTGGTTTATTGAAGCAAATAATCAAAAAATTGGAAATATGATTCGATATTGACAACTGCTTGAAACTGTGCTGGCTTCAACTTTTGAAACTTTGGGTTTAGAAAAAATGTTTCGGAAATGTTGACTAACGGCGGAAAAATACTGGTGGTGATATGGTTTGATCGTTATGCATAATTTTGTGGCACGCATCGCGCATCTCCGTCTTTCCACGGCGTAGTCGATTGCGATCGCTGTATGGTGGCTAAATTGCGTGTGCGTTGCGTTTCTCAGTGCGGCAGAATTCATAGCACATGCATTGGTTAACAAAATGGGTTCAAATGCTGTTTTAATTGGTTATCCTACTATCCTACTATATATAAAAAAATAGTGTTTGTGTGTGTGTGTGCCACTTTGCATGCAACTTCCGTCAGCGTGTTCCAGCAGTATCTCAAGAAGGAGAGTAGTTAGGGGCGTTTTTGATACGTCATTAGAGCGTAATGGTCTGGAGATGACTGCACACATATCGGATTGACCAAAATAGCCTATTTCCGACATTAAATTTTAGTTTTCGTTGAAAAATCCGAGACCCTCTTTGCTAGGAAGCAATTAGCATACACCGGAAGTGGCGGTAGCCTATTTAAAGGAGCAGAGAGCGTAATTTTCACTTTTTTCAACGGGAGTTGGGTGGAAATATGCAAAGTGTAAGCTTTCATTCGTCCAGCACGGGGGCCAGGGTTGAAAAGTCGCGAAGCGGCTTTTCAACCCTGGTTTCAATTTAATTATGTCAAGGCAACAGAATTTAATTGGTTGCAATTTAATTGTGTCAAGGCAACAGAATTTGTTGAAACAATTATATTTTATGGCTTATAAAAGTAGTGCGAAATGCTAAATGAAATACTTTCGACGAATAACCTTCCTTAAATTAAAAATATATTTTTGAACAATTACGAGTTCCTAAGGGGCCTGGGAAGCCAGGAGTTTTCTGATGGAATACGATGAACATGTAACGCTTGCGATTCAAGCGGCCCGAAACATTCTGTCGAGGCATTTTCCTGAAACACCAAATTTTCAAAAAAAACGTTTTTGATCCCGCCACATTTCTTTCTAGAAGTTTTGACGTCCATTGAATTTTTGGCAGGTTTATTGAAACCAATAATCAGAAAAATTGAAAATACGATTTTATATTACGGACTGCTTGAAACTGTGCTGGATTCAACCTTTGAAACTTTGCGTTTAGAACAAATGTTTCAGAAATGTTGACTAACAGCTGAACATTTTTTTGGGTACTAGGGTTCCGAGTCGTTTACTAATTAAAAAAAGTGGCTAAAAAATTGGCTTTCCTTGCACGCAACGCGACACGATTAGCGAATCAACGTCATTCCCTTGCGTAATGGATCGGCGTTGATGTGAAACAACTTTAAAGGGGTTGACAAGGGATTTGGCGAGACGATTACGCAATGAAAATGCGTGCGAGTGCTAGACCGAAAGGCACTGAAAGCCAATAATATATATACCGACTTGTACGTCCCTTTAAACGATAATTATACAAATTCGGAAAAATTTTGTTGTTTTTCAGCTAGTAATGGTGAATTCCACCGTCTTCATGTCGATCCTCACCTCCTTGGCCCCATTCACATTCGGCACCTGTCTACCGTACTACCTCGTGCTCATCACCGTCTTCTCAGCCGTCGCCGCCAAGTTTGCCATCCGGTTTTGGCGTACAGTAGATGAACAAGTGAGCTTATTTTTCTCTATTTACGATTCAACTTTACTCAGCGATTTTGATACGTTGACGAAACGAAAGATTAGATAGTTTTTGATTTGCCTCGGTCTCGATTTTAACTGGAAACACTTTTTTTATGAAAGCTGTACAGATTTAGGAGTGATTTTTTAGTTTTAAAGCTTTGTATTTATTTATTGAAATTAAAAAATGCTGTTGAATTGATGCAAGGAAAAGGCAAGAGAAAATAATCAAGAAGTATTAATAAAAACTACATTTTTCGATATCTTTTTTAACTTTTCACACGTCTTGCTCCGATTCTGAGCCTTTTGATTTCCGTCTAAAATTTTATTCGGCAACGACGAGTTAGCAATTAAATCTAAATTTTACTAATACCAAAAATAGCTGTAAGCTTTTTAGATAATCTTTTCTCTATTTTCGAGTCAATTTTTACCAAAAAGTAAGGCAGTGGCAGAATGTTTCACAAGACGCGTGCCTATCGACTAAACAAATTTATATTTGCTCATATTGAGTTTGAGTTGAAACACGTTTTTAAAAAAGTGGCTCGAAGTAGGGAATTTTTTTTTTTGGTGATCAAGGTGGCATATTTACCAATAGACCTCCCGATTTTACGATTTACGATCTACGATTTTATCGAACCTTTCCACGAACAGGAATTAATATACCTGAAATTGTTCTGATACCAAATGTAGCTGAAACAGGTTTTTGTCAAATCCTGGCTGACTAGATAAGTTAATCCTCCCGCTTAAAAAAACATAGTCTCTGTGTGGCTCGATGTGGGAAGTTTATTTTGGTGCCCAAGTTTGCATATTTATCACCGGCGAATCAACGTCAGAAAATCTAAAAATTTATCGAACTGAAAAATCTCGGAAATGGACGCGCGAAAAAGTTAGGCGAAGTCTGATCAACGGCTAAATGGCTAAGGCTAAATCTTTTATACCCTTTTTGAACTTGCTACACGTTTTTTCCTTTGGATTCTGAAGTTTGTCAGTCATTCCAGAAACACAGAAGCAAAAATGTATACTGTAGAGGAGTTTACAAATTATATTCATCCAAGGTTTTGCTGGAATCTTTGCTAAGGCCTAGTAATTAGACTTAAATTTTGCTGATAACAAATATCGCTAAACATGTTTTTTTTTCGAAATTGGCCCACTAACGGGCCAGACCCGCGAATTCCAACGCAAAAAATCATATTAGCAAGAATTCAACAAAAGAATGCTCGGGAAATAATAATTGACGATTTCACACTTTCACTCTGGGGCAATAGTCAAACTTATCGCCGCTGAAAGATCATGTTACGTTAAACATGTTTTTTTTGACGTGTTCCAGATAAGCGCATTTTAGCTAGACGCCTGAAAGTCTAAAACCGTCCCTGGTATCTTAGTGTATCGTTAAAATCGAAAAAATAATGCAAACGATCTCTTCTCAAATATCCAGTTCAATTTGCGCTGTTATTGAAGCCCGTAAATTAACGACAACCGCTTTTTCGCAGCGTCCATTTGATTTGAAGCACATTTTTGAAGTCTTTTAATTTCGTTTTTACTCAAAAAGCAGATAGATATATCAATCATTAGCATGATTTAAAGCCAAAATTATTGCTGATTTGCTCTTAAAATGTGGGAGTTCCCAGCAAAATCTATGTTTCAAATCATTCTTGACCCAGGAAAAATCGCGAGCCCGCAATTAATGCATTCAGACATGGCATGATATTTTAAAAATTAAAAAGTTGAAAACGGTAACCAAAATTTTAATGGATCGGCTTTACTCGGCAAACATCTGTTATGCTAAATCTGCGTTTAATAACGTACACTTCTAATTTCAGGGCCCCGAGTCCGAGGTGCTCCTCCGGAAATGCAGCCCGCCGCCTGGATACTCGGAAAAAGAGCTTCTAATATGAATCGATTTAATATACTAGCTTTGAAATTGCTAATAAACACTATGATCTCAAACGTGTTGAGCAACTTATAAAGTAAAATTAACTAAATACAATAAAAAAAGTTGCAATTCGTATGGATTAAGTGCATGTAATTCTGAAAAACAAATGTTTTGTCAAAAATTCATATATTTGAGCGCGAAGTTCTACCAATTAGGTCCAGATCGTCGCCTCGACAACCTCCCAGTGAGAGTAAAGCTCAGAACTATTCAGCTCGCATTCTTCATCTGAAATAATATTTTGAAAAAAGTGTTTCATCCAAATCTGCTTAGAAAGCCGGAATTCGAGGCCGGAATTTTGCTAGTCAAGCGTTGCATCTCACTTTCGGAATTTAAGGTGCTAGCAAAGCGCCTCCGCTAGAATTCCTTAAATTAAGGTGAGCAAAAAACTAATCTTTTATCGAAGCTCGATTTTGCGGAAAAAGCCTATATATCGTTCACATGCAAGCCAAAATTACTGCTGATTTGCTTTTTCAAATCGGGGGAGAAAAAAAATATGAGTTTCAAATTATTCCTGATACAGAAAAAATCGCGTGCGGCACTAATTCTTCACCTGTCCAGGAATCCTTGAAAAATCATAAAAACCAACATGATTTTTAATTGTTTTACTGGGCTCCGAAAAATCCATTAAGCTAAATTTACCTTCAATAAAGTTTGTATACCGCTAATTTCATGGCCCCGAGTCCGAGGTGCTGCTCCGGAAGTGCAGCCCGCCGCCTGGATACTCGGAAAAAGGGCTTCTAATATGAATCGATTTAATTTCGATTTGAAATTGCTAATAAACTCTTTGATCTCAAATCTGTTCAGCAACTTATAAAGTAAAATTCAATTAATACGCTCACCGGCAGAAAGCAATTAGATATTAGAAATTTCATGCTTTTTTTGAAAAACAGATGTTTTGTATAACATTCATAATTTTGAGCGCTAAATTCTGCCAATAATGATCAGTTAATCGGACGATTGATAACGACCTAAAAAGATTAAAATTAAAATTAGTTCAGGATTAGGCGTCACCCATTTTCCATTTTGAGATAATGTTTTTAAATAAGATGTTTCATGCAAATATGCTTATAGCGAAGTATGAATTTTGGTAATGATGCGTGGATTTGTGATTTGGAATTTGAGATTTTAGTAAAGCGCCGTTGCTGGGATGCATTCAAAAAGGTAAGTTAAGTAACAAATTAATCTTTTGTCGAAGCTCGATTTTGTCGGTACTTTAGTTTCGTCGAGATCTCATGCTGACGAAATTTTATAAGCTGAAATTTAATTTTTTGCGTGTTTAAGATGAAAAACTTCGACATAATAACTTTCTTTTTCCGACAGAAAATCCAATAGCTCAAAAAACATCTGTATGTTTCATGAAAGTTTCACCATCCGAGTTTACCTTTTGCTGTAATGATTCCAACCTTCGTCAAACAATTCCCAATTTCTGAATTTCGCTGCAAATTCGGCTCCAATTTTTGCCCGTTATCAGCACTTCACAATCCTCTAAAGAACCGGTTTTTTTCAGGCAGTTTTTCCCTCGTGGTACGCTGACCCCACCGCTATCAGCGCGTACATCTTTTTGCAATTTGCATCCCGAAAGTGGTCCATTTTGCAACTCCCCCTTATCAGCCCGTACATCACGCAACACCTTACGCCTTTTCCGAAAAATCGGCCCAGCGGAAATGAACTCTGGACAGGGGAGGCTAGCAGAGATTGTTTGAGGAAATGGACGGACCCCGAGAGGAGGGCAGGCTAGCAGAGATTGGAGGAGGAAATGGACGGACCCCGAGAGGAGGGCAGGCTAGCAGAGATTGGAGGAGGAAATGGACGGACCCCGAGAGGAGGGCAGGCTAGCAGAGATTGTTTGAGGAAATGGACGGACCCCGAGAGGAGGGCAGGCTAGCAGAGATTGTTTGAGGAAATGGACGGACCCCGAGAGGAGGGCAGGCTAGCAGAGATTGGAGGAGGAAATGGACGGACCCCGAGAGGAGGGCAGGCTAGCAGAGATTGTTTGAGGAAATGGACGGACCCCGAGAGGAGGGCAGGCTAGCAGAGATTGTTTGAGGAAATGGACGGACCCCGAGAGGAGGGCAGGCTAGCAGAGATTGGAGGAGGAAATGGACGGACCCCGAGAGGAGGGCAGGCTAGCAGAGATTGGAGGAGGAAATGGACGGACCCCGAGAGGAGGGCAGGCTAGCAGAGATTGTTTGAGGAAATGGACGGACCCCGAGAGGAGGGCAGGCTAGCAGAGATTGTTTGAGGAAATGGACGGACCCCGAGAGGAGGGCAGGCTAGCAGAGATTGGAGGAGGAAATGGACGGACCCCGAGAGGAGGGCAGGCTAGCAGAGATTGGAGGAGGAAATGGACGGACCCCGAGAGGAGGGCAGGCTAGCAGAGATTGGAGGAGGAAATGGACGGACCCCGAGAGGAGGGCAGGCTAGCAGAGATTGTTTGAGGAAATGGACGGACCCCGAGAGGAGGGCAGGCTAGCAGAGATGGAGGAGGAAATGGACGGACCCCAGAGGAGGCAGGCTAGAGATGTTTGAGGAAATGGACGGACCCCGAGAGGAGGGCAGGCTAGCAGAGATTGTTTGAGGAAATGGACGGACCCCGAGAGGAGGGCAGGCTAGCAGAGATTGGAGGAGGAAATGGACGGACCCCGAGAGGAGGGCAGGCTAGCAGAGATTGGAGGAGGAAATGGACGGACCCCGAGAGGAGGGCAGGCTAGCAGAGATTGTTTGAGGAAATGGACGGACCCCGAGAGGAGGGCAGGCTAGCAGAGATTGGAGGAGGAAATGGACGGACCCCGAGAGGAGGGCAGGCTAGCAGAGATTGGAGGAGGAAATGGACGGACCCCGAGAGGAGGGCAGGCTAGCAGAGATTGTTTGAGGAAATGGACGGACCCCGAGAGGAGGGCAGGCTAGCAGAGATTGTTTGAGGAAATGGACGGACCCCGAGAGGAGGGCAGGCTAGCAGAGATTGGAGGAGGAAATGGACGGACCCCGAGAGGAGGGCAGGCTAGCAGAGATTGGAGGAGGAAATGGACGGACCCCGAGAGGAGGGCAGGCTAGCAGAGATTGTTTGAGGAAATGGACGGACCCCGAGAGGAGGGCAGGCTAGCAGAGATTGTTTGAGGAAATGGACGGACCCCGAGAGGAGGGCAGGCTAGCAGAGATTGGAGGAGGAAATGGACGGACCCCGAGAGGAGGGCAGGCTAGCAGAGATTGGAGGAGGAAATGGACGGACCCCGAGAGGAGGGCAGGCTAGCAGAGATTGTTTGAGGAAATGGACGGACCCCGAGAGGAGGGCAGGCTAGCAGAGATTGTTTGAGGAAATGGACGGACCCCGAGAGGAGGGCAGGCTAGCAGAGATTGGAGGAGGAAATGGACGGACCCCGAGAGGAGGGCAGGCTAGCAGAGATTGGAGGAGGAAATGGACGGACCCCGAGAGGAGGGCAGGCTAGCAGAGATTGTTTGAGGAAATGGACGGACCCCGAGAGGAGGGCAGGCTAGCAGAGATTGGAGGAGGAAATGGACGGACCCCGAGAGGAGGGCAGGCTAGCAGAGATTGTTTGAGGAAATGGACGGACCCCGAGAGGAGGGCAGGCTAGCAGAGATTGTTTGAGGAAATGGACGGACCCCGAGAGGAGGGCAGGCTAGCAGAGATTGGAGGAGGAAATGGACGGACCCCGAGAGGAGGGCAGGCTAGCAGAGATTGGAGGAGGAAATGGACGGACCCCGAGAGGAGGGCAGGCTAGCAGAGATTGTTTGAGGAAATGGACGGACCCCGAGAGGAGGGCAGGCTAGCAGAGATTGGAGGAGGAAATGGACGGACCCCGAGAGGAGGGCAGGCTAGCAGAGATTGGAGGAGGAAATGGACGGACCCCGAGAGGAGGGCAGGCTAGCAGAGATTGGAGGAGGAAATGGACGGACCCCGAGAGGAGGGCAGGCTAGCAGAGATTGGAGGAGGAAATGGACGGACCCCGAGAGGAGGGCAGGCTAGCAGAGATTGTTTGAGGAAATGGACGGACCCCGAGAGGAGGGCAGGCTAGCAGAGATTGGAGGAGGAAATGGACGGACCCCGAGAGGAGGGCAGGCTAGCAGAGATTGTTTGAGGAAATGGACGGACCCCGAGAGGAGGGCAGGCTAGCAGAGATTGTTTGAGGAAATGGACGGACCCCGAGAGGAGGGCAGGCTAGCAGAGATTGTTTGAGGAAATGGACGGACCCCGAGAGGAGGGCAGGCTAGCAGAGATTGTTTGAGGAAATGGACGGACCCCGAGAGGAGGGCAGGCTAGCAGAGATTGGAGGAGGAAATGGACGGACCCCGAGAGGAGGGCAGGCTAGCAGAGATTGGAGGAGGAAATGGACGGACCCCGAGAGGAGGGCAGGCTAGCAGAGATTGGAGGAGGAAATGGACGGACCCCGAGAGGAGGGCAGGCTAGCAGAGATTGGAGGAGGAAATGGACGGACCCCGAGAGGAGGGCAGGCTAGCACAGATTGGAGGAGGAATTCCGCAGAGGTTTGCTTAACAATATCGGGGTTGTACGAAGTCTGAATTGTCTAGCCCCGGTTCCTCTTTTAAGACCCTATTAAAATAATACACTATTAAAATGGTGTACAAAACCTGACAATGAAACCTTACAAAATCGGAACATTTTTCATCTCCAAAAAGTCTACAGTTCATACCAGAGCTAATGTTGCGCCAGACCGGGCGTCAGGATTGCAGTAAATTGAAACATTTTTTGCCCAAAACAAGTTTTAGTTGTGCCTATTGCTGGTTGCAGTCGTTAATGAATGATATAAAACAAGATAAAAATTAAGCTTTGAAAGACATAAAAATCCCAAATAAATCAGCAAAGGCAGCTTCTAGATCAAAAAAATTTGGCAGTGGGAATTGTGCTAATTTTGCCCTTTCCAGCTAGGATTTCGGATAATGATAGCTGATGAGGCTTAAATACTGTTGTAAAATTTACAG